GCACAATACAAACGGTGGGCGTCAATTTACTATAGGAGCTCGGGCATCTCACTAACGATCGCCGAATAAAACAATATATACGGAGGGATCGCCCAGTCAGATCAACACGTGCAAGCATAGTTTCACGCATGGGCGATACCTGCGCAATGCGTTATGTGGGTTGTGCGTGCGTACATGTGCGTGCACATGTGTCGCAAATGTTCAGAATTCAAATGTCTAAAACTCAGTTATGTGAACAATTAATCACCACGTATGTGCATCACATTTGCAAGTACAAAACACTGTGACAAACGTTTGTCAAACGTTTGTCAAACGTTTGTCAAACGTTTGTCACATATGACAAACGTTTGTCATTTTTGACAAACGTTTGTCGTTCGAGACAAACGTTTGACAAACGTTTGACAAACGTTTGGCAAACGTTTGTCGCTTAGCTTTTATATGTAAAATATATGTTCAAACCTGGTGGCTAATTGTGTGTGAATCCGTTTAAATAAGCGCTCATGTGTTATCAATTGCATGGCCTGGCTATGCCCCAGCACACGCAATTAGGATTGTACTGTTAGGTGAATGCGGCACACGTGCACGTATTTGTATCACTGTGGCGTGAACCTCGCACGCATAACACTGCAACACAGTCCCTGAACACGCTCAAAAACTACCCCTGGCCAACTTCAGTGGCGGTGTGTTCGAGTTGTTTTGGCTCCAGGCGGGGCCGCCGAGCAGATTCTCGATTCTACCCTCGGTGCGCTGGTCTATTCCACCATGCCTCCCAAGGGCTCGAAACGGGGTGCTCCAGTGATCAAGGTACGTTTTGGGTTCCGTTGTGACCAGTTGGATGGTGCGGCAGGCGGTGCGAGCTGCCCCTTTCAAGGTTGCGATCTGACGCAGTGTTTTGGGCGCCGCGTCAGTTTGCAACCTGGAAAGGGGTTGCTCGCAACGGCTGCCGCGCACGTGAATTTGCATTTCGTGCACCCTCATTGTCAGGCCAACTTGAAGAAGGCCACCAAGACGCAGGCGCAGCCGAAGAAGCGGGGCGTCGCGCAGTCGAAGCAGAAGGGCAAGAGCAAGGGCAAGGGCGAGCTCACATTGGCCGTGTACGGTGACAAGGGGACATCTGGATGTTATTAAAGCGGTTCGTAGAAGCACATTGAATAGAGAGCGGAGAGTGCACGCGGTTTTGAGCAATGTTGTTGTTCCAGAGTTTGGTTCGATGTAGATGAGTTGGGCCACCCAGGCCTCGTCACAATGACAGCCGTTCCATGCGATGCCACGAAACCTCTCCGTCCAATAGTGCAGGTCGTTCCCCCCCCCTCCTCGACGAATCCAATTTGTTGGACTGGGGGACTGGACGGGCATCGGCGGCCCCGATGCCCTGCGCGCTGAGTCGTGCGCGACTGCGTGCAGTGATTGTTCTTGGTAACTCTTCAGCCCGCCCGCCCTGTGCCCTGTCCACCTCTCCCTCCTCGTCGTCGCCTCATCGTGGTCATCCCGTCGTGCGCTCACATGCCAGATGACGTGAAACAAACGCCCATCGAGCAGGAAATCCACCGCAGAGCTGGTCCGCAAGGCGGAGGGCAAGTCGTTCAACGAGAAGAAGGAGCTCTTCAGGCTTGCGTTTTGAATGTTCGCACCGTCGCGAGAGCGAGCGCGCGCTTGTGATCGGGCCAAACGTGGGGACGATATCAGGGGCAAATATAATGACGTGGGTACTTAGCAGGCCGACGCGAACGAGGATGCGATGACTGCGATGCTTGCGATCGTCTTCGCCACCCTGTTGACGCCGTGGGGCATCAACAGGGTGGCGAAGACGATGCCAAACACAGGTGCCGATTAAACGAAATCGGACGTATCCCCATCGTTCTCGTCGCCGTCCATTTTAGCCCGACCGCAAGCGCGCGCTCGCGTGCGCTTGCGACGGTGCAGCATCAAAACATCTTGCCAGGCAGTATGGCGACGGGATGGATCCGACCCAGCTGCGCGCCATCTTTACAGCCGAGGAGGTGAAGCTCCTGCACAACCAGTTCAGGACGGCCCGCAAAGGCAACGATCGTGTCTCCACGGCCTTCGAGGAGGCCGACAAGTTGGGAGTGCGGGAGGGGAAGAACAAGGCGAAGCTCGGGTACGTGATGGCATGGCTCAAGGATGCATCCGGTGTTTGTTTGTAGTTTCCTTCCTGCCCTACCCATATCAACATCATCCATGCAATTATTACGCACAGCATAAGTCGGCAAGTTGCGTGGGTCGTCCCATCCAACCATCTATCTGTCACACCTCGCACGCCCGTCCAGCTGCCCCACCGAACCCGCTCATCCAGCCGACTCTATCGATGTCTGCCTCAGGCGCATCCCTAAACCACCCGCCACCACATCTGGCCAATTGCATCTACTTACCCAACCTCGCTTACTCTACGTCGGCCAATACCGCGCCACGACATGCTCGCCTACCAAGCCAAGTGCAATCGGTTTCCATGTCCAGGGGCATCCGTGCACACTCGCACGTAGCGTCGTAGTTGAACATCCCCTTGACGCGCAGCTGTGTCCTTCCCCTGCACGCCCCCCTCCTCTTCCTGGCCCGCGGATGAACGCGACCCCGACTGCTAAACCCTCGGAACCGAAACATCTTGACAGCTCTAGCGGCTGCCCCCTGGGTGTCCCAGCACGTCCCCATCCCTCTCTCTCCCCGCCCCCAGATGAATGGGCACGAGGGCCCTGGCAGATCTAGACCCGCGCGTGATCTCCGAAGCGCTCAGGATAAACATCGCAGCTCTGCAGGACCCCTCGATGCAGGAGGCCTTCTGGGAGCTCTCGGTCAGCACCACGACCAGCGAGGGCATCAAGCGCAAGTCGGTCTGGAAGCCGTGGAAGCAGATGCTGGACAAATACGGCGAGGAGGAGGCGGAGGAGCGGCTGGAGGCTGGATCCATCAAGGTTGCACTGGGTGCCAACTAACAAGGAGTTGCCAAACGAGGGGGGGGGGGGGGGGATGGGGGGGGCAAGGCGGAGGAGGATGGGCCACCTTCCACCCAGCATCGTTCTAATGCACCCCCTCCTTCCATCGAGAGGGCGGTGCCATTTCCCGTTGGAGAGTAGCGCGGGCCGAGTGCGGCCCAGGCAATCCCGAGAGGGATCAGCGATGAAGGGGTGGGAACAAAGAGTGAGAAAAAGGGGGGGATGAGGGGGGGAGGAAGAAGAGGAGGGACAAATCGGAGGAGGATGGACCACCTTCCTCCTCCAAATCCTTTCCGTCAATCCCACCATCCTTCAATTTGGACGGGTTGGATTTCTCGTTGACCAACAGCCCAGGCCCCAGGATGAACCAGTAACGAGGGGGGTGCAGAGGAGGAGGAGGAAGACGACGAGGAGGAGGAGAGGCAAGAAGGATGCGGATGGACCACCTTTCTCTTCCCATCCTGTTTGGCAGCCCCCCTCCTCATTCCACCCTGAGGAGGGGGAATTCTCGCTGGTCTGCAGCCCAGGTCAGGCGCGACCCAGCCCATCCCAAGAGGAGGCAATACCTTGACGTGGAGGACGAGCACGAGAAATCGTTCAGGCGCGACAAGGTCGGCACCGCGCGCGGCAGGAAGGCCATTGACAACGACGAGTTCCAAAACCTGTCGTCTGGTCTGGGGTCCGCCAAGATGGTCGAGGACATCCGCAGAGGATTGACGTGTTTAGTAGTTTCAGAATGCTCAGCGAGAGGCATGGCAACTGGTAGTGTCTGGCAGTGCCTGTGGTAGCGTGACGAGCCCCACTGCAGCTGGCGGTGTCAGAGGTGCATGGAGAGGAGGGGCCAGCGCGATGCGTTGCTAGTAGCTGTTGGTCATGCACTGCCAGTTGCAGCGGGGCTCTTGCTGCCACGCGTGCGCGAAGCGGGTAGGGGGTGTCGGGCATTGTGTATGTATGTGCATATATACACAAAAGTACCTACATCTACGGCACATGTGTTTACACACATGCTGTGTGTTGTCTGTGGGTGGTGGTTGCACGCATGTGCACTGTGCTGCATATGCACAGGTAGAAGTACATGCGCACACGTGCAAAGATATTGGGGAGCGACAGCCCGATCTGAAACAGAGAGGGAGAGCTATGGCTACTACTTATATGTATACACATAGACATGTAAACATGATTGCATGTATGCGTGTATTTAGGTGCAGGTGTACATGTATTCGTGCACACGGGGGGCGGAGGGCGATAGAGAGAGAGAGGGGGGAGAGAGAGAGAGAGAGAGAACACGAGGGGTGGTCAAACGAGAAAGAGAGAGAGAGAGCACGAGAGAGGGCAAGATGGGAGAGCATTGAGAAGACCGCGACAGAGCTTAGCGTTGACGGCGGCGTAGTTGTGTTGTTTTGCTGCTGGGCTGGGTGAACTGGCCGCCGATCGTTCGCAGACCCATCGGTCCATGGTAACCATGGTGCGCCATGTGGCACCACCTGGCAGGATTGCGTCAGGAGCTACGTTGCTGCTTGGACCGATGGCGACATATACAACATCTAGAGGCGATTTCCAGAACATGGGCTACGAGAGCAACGACGAGCAGGATGATGAGCCCGAGGAGACAGGCAGTCAGAATCGCGGCCGCGGTCGTGGTCGCAGTCGCGGAGCTGCAGCGAAGCCGAAGGCGCGGGTGGTTGCTTCCCACCGTCGCTGTCATCATCTTTCTCCACCTCCGCATCCTCCGATTATTTCCTCCTGCTCCTCCGACTCGCCCCAACCCGCTTCCTCGCCCCCACCTCCTCGCACTCTCAACTCCTCCGCGCCACCGCGCGTGAACCCACGCGCCCCACTCTTCGTCCTGCCCCCCCCCGTCGCCCCGCGCATCCTCCCACCCGCCATGCTGCCATCGCCCACCGCCCTCCCTCCAACGCGTGTGTTCGTCCTGCTTCCTGCGCGCCCGCCCCCGCGTGCCCCCTCCACCCCCCCCACTTGTTCGCCCCCTCCTTCACTGGGTTGGGCCTTCTGGACGGGCCACGGAGCTGTTTGCCACCGCTTGTCAGCGAGGCCAAGTCGGTCAAGATCTCCGACTGGCAGGACGTGCTTGCGATGGGCAAGCCGCAGATGATGAACTACCAGGTCGCCGTCGAGACCATGTCGAACATGTACCTCGCCTCGACGGCGCCCTGGCAATTGCAAACATGTCGCATCCTGGCTGGCCGTCGTTCAGGACATGCGCGTGTCCGTGGATGGTTGTTGTTCGCATGCGGTCTAAGCTGACCGTCGCGCGCCTCCTCGGGATTCCCGCCACGCATGCAACGCGTGCCCTCGTCGCCCATTTCGGCATTCCCCACGTGGCCGCCACGTGCTGCTCCGCGTTCTTTTGTTTTCCCAGCGTTTCGCTTAGGGGGTCTACTACATATTTGGTGTACCCCAATGGCGCGTCCTTCGGATCTACGAAACAAAGTGTGGAATACACCGCAGTTGTGAGGACCAGCAGATTTAATTTTTGTAGTTTCGAAGGGCGCGCCAATTTCGGTGCGCATCAATTACGTAGTCGATCCCCTCACTCGAGCTTTCACGTGGGCGCGCCCTCTCGCTCGCAGTGCGTTTCGCCTTCGCCCCTTGCCCAGGGCCTCGTGGAGAAGCTCCAGCAGGACATCAAGAAGGCTGCGAACAAGGTCAAGAAGGACCAGCTCGAGAAGGCCAAGAAGGCGCCAGTGCACCCTTGTCCTCCTCTGCCTCCCCCCTCCCTTCCATCGTTCAGACGAGCCCCCCCCCACCCCCCACCCCCCGCTCCCTCCAACTCCGCCTCGCCCTCCACGAGAGTGCAGGCAGGCACGTGGATATGACATGGGCAAGTGGGGTGCGTACACCCATCCTCTACCCACTCCGCACCGCCCCCCGTGCCCCCTCACGCCAACCCCAACCAGTACATGCACGCGAGGGACACGCATATAAGTAGGAGCAAGCGTAGGGCCAACACTGGTCACGCACCCAACACCCTACACCCTAATCTCTAAACCCTACACCCTAAGCGTTATGCTATAAACCAGTTTGCGTCGGCCCTGCAATTCGCAATTCGACGTAGCCTTATGCTCGAGCAAAGGGATCACCCCATGAATTCTTGCGACCCCCTGGGGGTAGGAGCTCACGAACTGGGGACTGCCCGTGCCGATGCCAGGTGCTCGCGGACGTCCGCAAGAACCGCGACGTGCTCGGGGACTTGAAGACAGAGGAGAGCCCGTCGCTGGTGGGGATGCAGAAGGCCTGCAACAACATGTACAATGCGTTCGCTGCCGTGAAGCAGCTGAAGATAATTTCGTAGATGATTGCAGGGGGGATCATATTCCTGCACGTGTGAGTCTCCGCCGCTTGAGGGGCGTCATACGGATCTGGACACTGCCCGAAATTGATGTAATCATGACTGGGCATTATGTGCAATACAATTGTATGTGTATGTGTAGATAGTTATACATGTATGGTGGTGTGTAAGCTCATATGTGCACGTGTACATGTATATTGCATGCGTGTGTACGTATGTGTGTACTACATACACATACATACATGTTTACATGTACAGGTATAGGTACACCTATAGGTATGCATACATATGTATGTGTGTACGTTCGTATGTATTCATGGTTATGTGTCTGTCTGTCTGTCGCAGTGATCGCTAGCGAGCGATGGTTGTGTGTCTGTCTGTCTGTTAGGCGCTCGCAATGAAAGCTCATGGCACTGCTCGTTGCGCAGATCCGTGCGCGCTTTGCCACTGAAATGCACGCGCATTTCAATTTCAAGTTAGCCTGGCGAACTGACTAGCAGCGAAGCTCATCGAGGCTCACTGGTTCCAGCGAGCGTTCGACGAGCGGTCATCGAAGCTCACTGTTTCCAGTGAGCGTTCGATGATCGCTCATCGAGGCTCATTGTTTCCAGCGAGCGTTCGATGAGCACGCGCAGTACCCTAGTGTGACAGCGATGCCAGGCTCACTGGTGCTCACTGTTTGCAGCGAGGCTCGATGACGTTCGCTGTGGCAGAGCTCGTGGAGGCAAACAACGATGCCATGAGTCTAGTTCAGGGCCCAGGATAGGACAAACGTATTTGGTTCCAGCATCGGACCAAATTATATCTGGTTCCAGAATACATTCGGGTCATGTGCTCAGCTCGGATATATAATTTGCCACAAACGACGCGAACACGAGGCAGTACGGGGTGAGTGACTTTAGTTAAGTAGGACAAGGGTCACTAGTGCAAAGAAAGCATATGCGTTCAAGGGGGGATATGACACAGGATATGGGGTTACACGTTGGGCGCACAAGTGCGAGGCACGCGGTGCATTGAATAACGCTTCTGGCACGCGTGGGGGGAACACCCCTAAACAGCTTGTCACCTCCTGAGTCCTGGGGCCGTGCGGTGCCCTTCTGGGCCAGTCGGGGCGTTGGCTTCGGGGTCTTCTGGTACTGTGGCATAGCAGTGGCAGTTAGGTTTAGAATGAGGGTGCAACACTGTGGAGAGAGCTCACCACCAAATATTCCTTCCAAGGAACCCGTTCAGGTAATCCTTCCAGATCGTCCCGCATCCCCCCATATTGTCCTCCTCCTCCCCATTCCTCCCCCTCTTTCTCCCCCTCGACCCTCCTTCCTGGAAACAACGGTCAGGGTCACGGGGCACGAGCTACTAAGGAAACTACGGCTAAAGCAACGACGCAGACACATAGGCTCTCGTATTCATACGTAGCCATTTCCCTCGGTTCAACTGTGCCAGCAATCGCGACCTACTCCCCAGGAGGTTACCGACGCCAGTGCAGTGTACCAGCCATGGCATCATCATCGATCATGAGTGGCGAGATCGCTCTGATCACGACTAACAGCTTTGCCGACGAGATGGAAACGCAGGCCATCAAGATCACGGAGGCGATCAAGGCGATGCACGCCCAGAAGGCGAAAGTCACCAAGGCCATCGCTCACACCAAGCACGTGGCGCTCAGCCCTGGCAGCTCAGAGGAGCAGCGAACGGCCAACTTGCTCACCCTGCACTACCACGACTCGAGGATCGACCTGGTCACAATGGAGCTGCAGAAGATCAAGGGCCTCTTGCTCGACAACTCCAGCGTGAAGATGGGCACCGCGGAGGAGAAGACCGCAACGCAGTGCGATTCGCTCAGCAAGATTGTGCAGCTCACCCAGCAGTACGACAAGCAGCTCACGAAGCAGAGCATCGAGCATGGTGGCCAGCTGCCGTGGGATGCAAATGACGAGGACACGTGGGTGCAGTACGGTTGGCAGCGAAAGGACGACTCTAAGTGGATCTCGCCAACTGTCTGGAACGCGTTCGACGTCAATGATCCCGCTACGTGGGTGCCCTTCGGCTGGGCCGACTACAGCGCCACCTCCGACGCGGATGATCCGATTGAAGTGTTCGAAGTCATCGAGCGTGCTGATGTCGAGTCCAAGTGAGTTCAGTCAGTGCAGCCAGTCAGCCAGCCAGTGCAGCCAGCCAGCCAGTTTGTTTTCACTGCGCAGCCAGTGTACGGCGTCAACGCGCAGCCCGAGACGCCAGGAGATTTGGTTGCTGCACTTCCCAACGCTCCCGACCTGCGATCGCGGGAGTGTGCTTGCGCACCCGCATTCACATGCCAGGAGGGACGGGTGGAAGCGTAATTAGCCACTCAGGTCTTTCTTCCCGTCCTTCTCGACCTCCTACGCCTCCTCGAGGTTCTCGATCCTCCTCCTCCTCCTCCTCCTTCCCCTCCTCATCCGCCTCCTCCTCCATATCTTCCTCCTCCCCCTCCTCCTCCTCTCCCCCTCTTCTCTGGCAGACGGACATGCTTTCGCTGATCGCTCGCTCTGCTAGCGGTGCAAACGCGGGTTCGTAAGAGGACAAAGACTTGTCGCTGCGTCCGGAGGGGGCGCGGGGGGCGATCGCGACCAGGATTCAGAGTGTCACGGCACTGCCCGCGGGGACAATTCGACGCGTGGAGGGGCGCGCCACATGGAGAGGTGGGGGGAACGGAGGAAGGCAGCTGTTTGTTTTTTTGGGGGGAGGGGGGCTGAATACAGGAAGGGGAGGGAGGACGATGGTCTGGGGGAGGACACTCTCGACGGGTGTTGCCAGGCACCGCCACTGTGGCCGCCAATCGCACAGCCAGTTTTGTTTGCGAGCCCGTCTGGGCTCGAGTTCGTGCGCTGCCATGCGGCGGTGTACGAAGAGGCGCCTCGATCCCGATCCACCCCCTGACTCCGAGGAGTCTGAAACTAGCGCTCGCGAGGATGTCGATGGGCGGGGCCGCCCTGAATTCTCAGTATTCGCTTCTATGCTGTTGAGGGAATGGTCGTGGGGCAAACTCTACGGCGCGGAAGTTCAGAGATATGCCCTCGCGGCGTTCAAGGACGGCCTGACATCTTACAGCGAGGTGAGGGAGCTAGCATCAATGGGATCCTGGGGGAGGTGTCCTTCAAACGTGCATCAACAATTAACTAAGAAATACCTACGCGGGAACCCGTTTCCAGAACCTGAAGAGTTTGACGTTCATTGTCGCCACCCGAAAACATTACAAGTAATTGAATCACCGTGCTGCATTTTACTTCCGCACGAGATGTTCTCTGCTTTGTTCCGATCGCATCCTGACGAGTTCAGGGAGATGATGGGCCTTGGTTCAATGCAAGAGTTTTGGGGTGGCGCTTCCAGGGGCGACCCTAGGATGAAGCATCACCCCGTTTGGCTGGTTCCAAACTACTCTCGGTGGTGCATCCCGCTTCGGATACACGGAGATGGAGCAGAAATGCAGAACAACGATTCCCTCATGACTGTCTCGTTCACAAGCTTGTTGGCTCTAGGGTCGACTCGGGCATTAAGTTTCCTAATCGCGGGCTGGCCCTACTCAACTACTTTGAAGCAGCAGCATGATGGTTTCGACACATGGCTCGAAATATGGTGCGTCATAGCATGGTCTCTGAATTCTTTGGCGAGCGGGAAATTCCCGACCAGAGATGCAAGGGCTCCGCCATTCCGCATGCTCGAAGGGGTATTGTGTTTTGGTGACGAAAACCCGAACGTAGGGGGGATTGCGGGGGGCTGGGAAGAGCGGCGACTCATGCGGGGGCGAGGGGGAGACATGTGGGGGGCCACATGTGGGAACCTAATCCCAGAGCATGGGGCAACGAGCAGTGGCTGCAGCGGACTGGCTCGGCCGACCGTTTCCAGAGGGTTCTCGCCATCGGGATCAAGCTGGCCAATATTTGTGCAGCCGAGAACTCCCATACCGCGCGTTCCTGTACGCGATTTTAGGCTGTGGTCGCAGTTCGAAGCGCCCCGATTTACCAATGCAACTTCGGTTTCCCACCTGCGGCATCTTGTTTGGGAACCGGGTTGAAACCTAGGGGCGGTGAGTGCATGTGCGTTCCAGACTGCGACCAACGCCGCCAGGCGACATGGAGTTTTTTAGCCAGCACCTCGGCTGCCCTCACCCGAATGCGCATGAGATTTGCTTCCTCTGCGAAGCCAACCGCACGACGCTGCCGTGGAACAATTTCGTCAAGGAAATTTGTGTAAGACGTTCGAGGCATTACCGCGCACGCCCAGTGAGCAACGTCTATCTGTAAGCCCACTCCCCCTCTAATCCCCTAGCCCTGACCCCGCGCAGGGATGCCCCAGTGAGCCTGATCATACTGCCACTCCCCCTGCGTTTGCACCCCCCCCCCCCATTCCACTCCTCCCCTTCGTTTCTCTTCCCTCGCTTCATATCCACATGCCTCCCCCTAATCCTGTTCCCCCCCCCCCCCCATTACCCGTACCTTCGTTTCCCGCATTGTTGCTGCGGCCCTGTCCATCCCATTCCGCCAGCCACGCCCACCGTATGTTCTGGAACAGACCACCTACCCCTCCCCCACCACCCTTCCACCCTCTGGCTCCCCCCACCGCCCCCTACGGAGCACCGATGTACAGGCTAGTTTCGCTTTCTCCTTGTGCTCGCCATCGCCGTGCCCGCCCCCCATGCACACGCATGCCCTCTGGGCCGCGCGGCAACGCCCTAGCCAGGATCGGTGCTCCTCAGGACATGCGTTAGCCCAACGTGTGTTTACACCATTCAGCTCAGCAAGTAGATCATTACATCGCCTGCGTCGTGTTGGAGGGCCGCATAAGGCAAACACACGTTGGCGCTAACGCGCGCGTTGCGGATCATCGGCAGGACAGCTATCCCAGGCATTGGATGCGCTTCCGACGTCGCGAGCCCTTCCCGTTCACGCATCCCGTCTTTTTCAGTTTTTGGAGTTACGGTCGACTCCATCAGTTTAGACAGTATGCATTGCGTGGATCTCGGGATCACG